ACCACAAACCCAGAGGTGGCCCTAGAGAGCAGGGTGAAAGAGAAGCCCTCATTGCAGGCACAATTGTTACTTAATTTTGCTTTGTCTAGAAAGAGAAGTGGCTAGACATAAAACTTACAGTTGGTGGTTAATTTCTAGATCCATGAGACGAAAAGAACAAATATGGAAATTTGTAACCATGGAAGGGAAGGGGAAGTAGCACATGGAAGGCCATATGCTAGTGGTAAAAAGTGGACAGATTTCTCTGGGAGATTCTACCCACCACAACATGCCCTCCACACAAAGGTGAAGTTAATAGACTATGCGGTGTAAGTCTGCAGGGTCTTTTAAAACCTCTCTATGTCATGAGATGAAGTATGATGTTGCTATAGCGGAAAGGATGGGAGCTAGCTCTGGGTATCACAGAATGGATTTCTCTTCCCTAAGGCTGGCTAGTAGAGATCCTCTAATGATGAGTGGCAAGTCTTCCAGCATCACCAGAGACCTGTAGGGAGCCCTTATTTTGGTAGACTAGCAGTAAGTTGATGAAATGATTGTCCTATCTTAAATGAGTTAGGGATGCCTTGTAGCTGAAATGTATATTTACTTTGGGTACAGAGTTTTTCTTTCCTTCTTACAATCAAAACACTTCCTCTAAAACACTAGCCTCCCTTGATGCAGCAGCAACTTAGCAATGCTTTGCCTTGTGCCTGTACCTTTGCCACATTCTTTCTCCAGCAAAATTCAATTTGTGCAGTAAAATGTGATTGTGGAAGTTGCTTGCTTTATATTGCTATGATATAGTCTATGATCAAAAGAAATTGGGAAGTAAAGGGTTATTGGGGTTGTATATCTCTATAAAAGTCTATCTTTGAGAGAAGTTAGGACAGGGGGGTCAAGCAGGAGCACAGGTGTGCCTCTCATGGCTCCTTGGCTTGGTTCTTTATACAGTCCATGACCACCTGCTCAGAGTGGTACTACAGTAGCAACAGCTCTCCCATCAATCACCAATCAAGAAAATGTCTTACAGACTTGCCTACAGGACCATCTGATTAGTGGCATTTTCTCAATTGAAGTTTCCTCTTCCCAGAGGCTTATGGTGAATTGACAAAAACTAACCAGCACAGAGCTCCAGTCAGCATTTTGCATGCACATATTTAAGAGTTCCAGAGATCATGGTTACGACAATGGGGAACAACGTTACAAGGATGAATATTTTGTCTTTTTTCTTCTATGACATAGTCTCATGATATATTTACAAAGCATTGTAGAGCGATTCAAAAGGAAAGGGCAGGTTTTAATTCAATGTATTAGAAGAAAACTACATATATTTGTACAAACTAATGACTCCTCCTGTTTTCAAAACTGGCCTCAGACTACTATTCACAATCTATTGCTCTATGCTTTGTATTCTTCTGTGAGTGACAGATATATTCAGATATGAATTTCTATTTCCCAGCATAATAATGAATAAACTAGATCAATATTAGGGGATGCTGCTTTATATATTTTGTTGGAGATATAGTGGCAGAGACTGGCTAGAAATACACCAAATTCATTTCCCTTTCTACCAGAAGTGAACTGAACTTCCCAGCTTCCCTTGCAGGTAAGTGAAAGTGATGAGCAAGCCACTTAGGACTGACCCACCTAGGTGGCTGGAGCACAAGTTGTACATTTCATTAGCGGGGTAGATGTGTTGTATGGGTTCTATGAGCCCAGAAGAGAACTTGGAGTTACTAAATAGCTCTGTAACACCTGAATTTCAATAATCTTCAATTTCCATCCTACCTGCTCTCTTTGTAATTACCTTCAGTTGGTGAGGAATTAAATCTTGTGTCAATCTACTAATATATATTTGGTGCTGTTACTCAAAAGGAGCTGACCATATAGACACCTGTATGAAAATGTGCATATCATCATGTGGTATTGCCATAGTATAAACCTGAAATACTCAGGAATAGGAAGCAATCAGGTAGATGAGAAGTGCCTACTGGAGTCTGGGAAGGAAGCTGGCCTTTGTATTCTACAGAGGCTAGTGATACTGTACAACTAGAAAGCGAGACCCAGCATCCATACAACCCATAGCTCAGATCAGGTGGTTTTATTAGACAGCACACATTATGAAATGATTATTCTGTATGAGCATTGTGTAAGGTTTTCTAACAAGAATGGAGACTTGAAGTGGGGACTCATTTGCTTTCCAGAGATGAGAGGTATTAAAATGTGAACCAATATTGAAAAAGATAACTGTAGGTCCCCCATGAGTAAGAGATACAAAAGTGAAGTCCAACGGACCCAGCTAGGTGGCTGAGGCTAGAGTCAGGATAGCCTTTTCACTCAAGCCATTAAATAAGAAAGTCTTGGATATAAGGGAGTCAGGAATAAGGCAGATGTGGAACTAAATTAAAATAAAATGACTTCTTTTTAAAAAATTGCCTTTTGGCATATGAAATTAAGTAAAAGAAGATAGATTAGAAAATTAGCAGATGCTTAAGAGTTTATATTGCCTAAGAAACCCCTGATTAAGTTGTAAAACAACAACAAAACCCCAAACCATGTGATTGTTAAACTTTACCTAGTCTCTCAAAATGGATAATCTGAGTCTGATCTGAGTTCCATAGTTATCAAAGAAGCCATAGGTCTCTAAACAACTGAGGTATGGTTTTGGAAAAATCAGGCCAAGAAGAACCTTGTAGAAGACAAAATGGAAGAAATGGGAGGTGGTTCTTTGAAGATGCGTGATCCAGGGTATAATTTAGTAAATCTACCCTACAGTGTGCTTCCTATGATTTCTAGCTGAATCCCATTATTCTGTACGCGGTAATGTTTCCTCCCTCTCTCCCTCCCTCCCTCCCTCCCTCCCTCCCTCCCTCCCTCCCTCTCTCCCTCCTCCTCTCCCCTCTGCATACATGTGTGTATGTGTTCTTGATGTTTGTAGTAAATGGGATAACAGTCAAAAGTCTGCTGTTCATAGATACTTTGCTTACTGTAAGGCAGGATGTGGGATTGCATAGCATACAATTGACTTTGAGTTAGTGTCAGAATAGAAATTTGGAAAACTTTTAGATGTCTTTCTAGGAAAGATATAAATATCTTCTCTGTGTAAACTCAAGAGTGAGCTTATATTTGTTAAGAGTGACAGTAAATGGTAGCAATTGTATAGCTGTTGGTTGATAATCCTAGTGTTCTTCCTTCTGATGCATAGTTAGACTATAATGTCCAGACTTCTGGAAGGTAGGTATGGTTCCATTAGTTGTTGTCAGGTGTGAATAAGAGATGTTCATTGCTGTCACTATCAAACAACAAACACTCCCGTTTGGCTAGGCTGTATACTACTTATTCTTTCTTTGTTCTTAGGCTGGTTCCCTATGATAAATCAGATGTACATGCTTGGAAAGTAGCTAGTCTTTCTTAGATGGTTGTTTTTAATGCTGACAGAGTCTGTGTTGCAGCAAAAGGGACCCATCCTGTGTGGAGCTTCTGCTGTTGGTTATACCATCCAGCACAGTACTGATGTCTCAACGATAATACAGTCATCATGGATACAATCATGTAGGAGAATACAAACTTGCATTAGAATAGACTCATCCCTGGGCATGATGAACTGCCTAATTGAATAAGCCTATAAGGCAAATGTTGAAAAATCATCAGAAGAATAAAAATTAAAATATTGAGGGACACCATATTGCAACAAACCAAAACAACAATAAACTAAACCAAAACAAAACAGTAAATTGTTCATGAAGTTGGCTTGAGGTCTAAAAATGAATAGAACTTGTAGAATTTTGACCTGGATGCAGTGGATGTCCAATGGAAAAGCCTGATCTAAACTCAGACAGCAGAGCACAGGCCAAGTGCATGGGTCAGTGTATAAAAGGGAAAGGAGCTGAAACAAGGGACACAGGGAACTCCTTTGGAATAAACAGATGCAAGGCTAAGAGTGACAGGTAGAAACAGCTGGCTCTGGAAAACTACCTGTCACTGGCAAGAGGGGAATATCAGCAGACAGAAACACATACGAGAGGAAGCTCCAAGCTCCTCTAGTTTGTCCTATGAGATGTTTTCACAAAGCTTTTGAGAATCTCAAGACAGTGATGTCAGTGTACTCATCTCCAAACAAGCCAGTGCCTAAATTTCAGTTTCCTTTCCCCTAAATTAAAGATTAACTTAAAATATATTTACATCTTATTACTAAAAGATAATAAGCAGACTTGTTAAAGCCCAAAGGGACAGAAAAATAAAGCACAGGGGCAGGACACCTTCAATCGTAGACTTAAAAATCAATCAGTCCTGGTGAGCCCATCTTGACTATCCACATCCTTGTGTAGTTTGCTCCTGAAATCACCCTGAGACTGGCATATGACTTGATTTGCTCACAGTATGGCAGCAGGAGATACTTGAGAAATACCTGTATATTTGGTTTTAGTCACTAGGAATTCTGCCTCACCATGTAACAGTCCCAGGCTTTATTGCTGAAGGAGACACCAGAGGAGAAATATGCTGTACCAGCTGACAGTGCTTGCTAAATATACCAACTTGGTCAATCCAGCCTCAGGTGTCTGTGAGTGTCAATACTTGAGAGAGTTTAGACAAAAGACAATTCACCCAAGGTCAGTGTATAAAACTGTTCAGCTAAGTAGCTAAATGGTTAATGATTTTTGGCCAATGTTTTGGAGTTGATTTGTTTTTACAGAACAAATAATAATTGATATGTTCAGCATGTAAATGAAGCCTTTATGCTTCTCATATTTAAATCAGTAAATTATGATGAATAGTAACTTATCAATGTAAACAGTGTATCATTTTCTGATACAGGAGAAATAAAAAGCAAAACCAAACATAACTAAAATAGCAAACGCAAATTCTTTATGAACATTTTTGTTTTAGGATGGCTGGATTATCTCTCTCTCTCTCTCTCTCTCTCTCTCTTTCTCTCTCTCCCCTTTATTTATATAGTGGAAAATGATAGATATGTAGGTAAGCAGATAAATAAAAGACAGTCTTTTAATTGGACAACTTACTGAAACATGATTTGCCATGAAGCATGTGCTGCAAAATCATGCACAATGGTTCAACATTCTGTGTAATGCTCCTGCAAGTACATGGCACTTGAAGGACTGTCCCAAAGGTTCCTAGGTAGGCAGTCCTGCAGCTGTCACTCCCAGAACAAGTAAGGTCTTGTCGGCCTAACATGCTAATGCATGTCTCGTCTTCATGGCACTTCCCAGTCACATGGGGCCAGCATTCTGTCTGGAATGTTCGATAGTGTGTCCTAGAAAACAGAGTGAAGAACTGGATTTAGTCTACGGATAGAGAGATTTCACATTAACATGTGGTGGTCTCTTACCTAATGAAACATTGGCCTGGGGCAGAATGAGGTGTTGGTTTCAAGACTTATGGAAAGCTAACTTTGTATTTTCAAGCATCACATAGGGAGCGTGGGGAAGAAAAACAAAAATCAAAATAGTGAAATTTTGTAAATTACTCTACTTTCCTGAGACTGATTTTCCCTTGTGGCTAATTTTATCCCAACACTTTGCAGTATGAACTACTTGAGAGATTTATTAAAGAACTTTTTGAAACCTCATGCAATTTCGGAGCTCATTTAGACACTGTCCACCACTGAGAAATTTCTTTATTCTGTTTCCATGCTTTCATACTGAATAAACTTTATAAAATTATTTTAATAATTTTTTGTTTTTGATAGCAAGAACTAAGGCTGGGGAACATGTCTCCCTGAAAGAAATTTCATATTTTCTAGTAACCTGTCAGATCATCTTATAAGGTGAGAATGAAGCCCAGACAATGAAGGGTCAGTGATAGGCAGAGAGATACCTTGATTGAAGCTACTTAGGCATTCAAATTTTGGTCTGCTATTTAAACTTTAATATTATGTCAGCCTCCCACAAGGTGTACTTGGAGGTAGGAAGTTTCACTAGATATACTCTTTCCTCTTCCCAGTGTAACCACGTTGACTAAGTCTCCTTTTTGTTTTCTAGTATTAATTTGACTCCTTTAATTGACTTATTGAGGCCAATTGTTCAAACCCAGCTTGGACACAGATGGTGGATTCCTGCACACACTAATTCAACTACAAAAAACTGGCATAGGGACCCATGACAAACCTGTAATTCTGCATCTCTCAGGAGGCTGAAGCAGATGACCTAGTGTGAGATCAGTGGTGACTACCTATAAAAACAGCCTTGCCAGTTGTGGTGGTGCATGCAGGTAGGATTTGCTGAAGGAGGCAGAGGCAGGAGGATCACGAGTTTGAGGCCAGCCTGGGCTACACATAAAAACAAACAAACAAATAAAAAACAAACAAACAACCCCCCCCAAAAAAACAGCCTTGCAGTTTAGACTCGATTCATCACATCCTGAATTGCTTACCTATGTCCTAAACTGTCTACATAAGCATGTGTTTCTGACCAATGGAAAGATAAATTCACCCTAAACATGAGCTTGCATGTGCTTCATAAAAACCTCAGTGAGAGAAAGAGAGCCAGACATGCTGAGCTCAGTTGTGATTTCTAAGCATGGCTATCTGTATATGACATCTTGATGTCAGCTAGAAGCTAGACTGAAAGTTTTAACTGAGAACATAGACTGCTCATAATGTCACTCAAAAGCTGCAAGAGCCCCTCCATTGCAGTAGCCCTCAAGCCTGGTGCCTCACCCTGTGTAATTTCTGGCTTCCTTTTCTGTTGCTTTCCCCTTTCACTGCTCCTTCAGAGGAAGCCATGCACTTCCATTGCAATATCTTGCCTGTTGGATTGCTTTGTGTGCTCTCTGGTAGTAGGTCAAGAGATCAACTCAGTAATTTCCTCCAGTTAGGTCAAACACTCCTCATTGGGAGCATTCCTTAAATTGAAACATTTTCAGTCTATCCTTATCTTCTTTATTGTATCCTTAAAGGGGTTGTATAATTGTTTTTTTGGATATTAAAACGTAATTACAACATTTCTCACTTCCCTTTTGAGAGGATAGGATCCCTCTCTGGTAGGCAGATAGATAGGGAGAGGGGCCATGGAAGTTTTCCAAGATGACATACTTCTTCAAACTTACCAAACCTAAATTAAGTGAGGAAAACACTTCAGAGGCTTAAAAAAAATCCCAGCCCTCAAGGAGACTGTATTCTTTGGCTTCACGAGTCCTCACTCTGCTGAGCAGAGATCTTTTTCTCTGTGTCTGCTACATATGTGTGTTTCATCACCCACAGTAAACATCTTTCTTTAATGCCCATTCTATCCTTGGTGCTTGAGATTTCTCTGCTGTGCTGCCTGTTGGGTTCAAGATTTTCCTTGCCTTTTAATTATTTAACTGGCAGAGGAAACAATCCTGATCCAGATCTCTAGACTTAATCATTTTTCTCCCTCTAATCTCCTTTAATCTAAGAATTGCTCGTTACTTTATATGGTATGCATTTTCTTACTGTCTGTCTTTTTTTGACTAAAATAAACAAGACAGACAGACATTCCTAACTGATGCCAAGATGGGTACCTGATTAGTGTATATTCTGAATGAACAAATAAACAGCTAGCTTTACTTTCCCCCATGACTGTACTTGCTAGTTTTGTGTATTCACTTAAAATAGATAGGGTCATCAGAGAGGAAGGAGCCTCAGTTGAGGAAATGCTTCCATAAGATTCAGCTATAAGGTCATTTTCTCAATTAGTGATCAATGGGGAGTAGTGCCATCCCTGGGCTGGTGGCCTTGGGTTTTATAATAAAGCAGATTGAGCAAGCTGGAGGAAGCAAGCCAGTAAGCAGTACTACTCTATGGTCTCTGTGCTAGCTCCTGCATCCAAGATCCTGCCCTGTTTGAGGTCTTGTTCTGACTTCCTTTAGTGAAAAACAGCAATATGGAAGTATAAGCTGAATAAACCCATGGGTTTTTGTCACGGTGTTTTGTTTTAGCAGTAGAAACTCTGACTCAGGCAATAACAGATAACATGAGGATGGAAAAGAGGGAGGTACATTTTTGATGTCATGGGCACACAAATATGCAGGGAATATCCACACCATACTAAAACTACCTTATTCATCTCAGCCCACAACTTGAGAAAAAAACTGTATTTTTTCTGAAGTTTAAAGAGTTACCTTGCCAAAATTAACAGCCTTTTCAACACAACAATCCATCTGTGGTTGTTCATGCCTGTTAATCCAGTACTCAGAGACATGAGGTAGGAGGATTGTGATTTCAAAGCCAGCCTGGTATACAGAGAAAAACCTTATCTAAAATGAACAAAACTCAAACAACAACAAAGATTCTACAATCACAACAAAGAAAAAAATCTAATTACACAGCTGATTGGGGACCAGTGAGATATACGAGGGATGAAAGGTAATTTGAAAAATCCTGACAAACTGAGTTCAAATCGTAGAAGCCACATGTTGAAAGAAGAGAACCAACTCATAAAAATTGTTGTTTATATGAGTACACACATACACACACACACACACAGCAAATATGAACTTTAAAAAGATGATAGATAGCCCAACACTGTTCCACATGGTGAGTTTCTTTATTCTAAAACTCTGCTCTGCATTTTACATTTGAATTTCAAAAATGGTACCACACGTGTACCACAGAATCACGATGTGAGCTGTCTGGCTTTATTTACCCTATTTTGGATGATGGTGGGAACTCTAGCAATAGAAGGAGATCAGATGTTAGGGTTGGACTATAACAAATAAGGTGCCGAAATAAGAAAGCAAGGTATGTGTGTTTTTACTCACCTGCATAATTCATCATTTCGGCAAGTGTGAATTACACTGAGGCAAGTGGGGGGTGGAACTATGCTCAGTGCACATGGCTTGCTGTGAAGAGTTTCTTTGGATTGCTGACAAGGTATATCAGATTGAGCACAGTCACAAAAGGCCAACATCTGGGCAGTGTTAAAAGGCATATTTTGATAGAAGAACCGTATGGCTGCTCGGCAGTGTTTCACATCGCACAGATTTCCATTTGCTGAGCATGCTTTAAGGTAAAGGGCCAACTGTGCATTACAAACCACATCCCCTACACACGCCTCTGTCACTTCCAAACAAGACTGCATCTGTTTGAATCCTGAAAGCAAGAAAATGCCCAGGTCATACAAAAATAAGCTCAGGGTCGTACATATAGAACCTGAAAACAAAACTATGGGGATTCCACAAGCTGAGTATAAAAGTGTACTAGGCTACTAGGATTTCTTTAAAGGCTTGATGGTGCCATGTTTGAATCATCTTTTGTCAATACTATATACATACTGTGATCCAGATTGTTCAGGGATGGACAGGACCAAAGTGGAGCTTTAGGGGAATAAACATCCCTGAGTCTAAGTTTCTCAAAACAAGCATTTACTCTTCAGAAATAGAAATTGAACCTTATTGTGAGCTCAATGTCTTGAGTCAGAATCATCCTTGTTCTGTCACAGCTAATTGGGAGTGCATGAATAGGAAATTCTGAACAAAGGTTAACACAGTTATTGCTGCCAAGGAAGATGCTCACATCCTGATGAAACCTCTGACATCACTTACAGGCACATACAAAAACAGTTGGCTTCAAACCTTTTAGGTTGTATGACCTGAAATGCCCTTATGGTTTATCCAAGCCTTTGGTTTCAGTAAATATGTATTTCTCAGAATAGAGGATGGAAGGGCTAAATAGGCACCTTCATAATCATTGGAAAGAATGCCATGGTTTTGCTGCATATTTTCTGCAATTTTTAAGCCATACAAATTATTTAGTATTGGCATATCATTGAGAATCAACAACATTTAAATCATAACATCCAGTTTTTATAACGTAGGTAAAAATGATAGTTTGTACATATTCCCATGATATAAAGGAGTAGTTAGATTCCATTTATATTTACTTTCCTTTTTCATGTTATCTAGAAAGAAAACAAAGAAAGTATTTCACTATTAAAGAGTTTTCTAAATTTCCTAGTAGCTAAGGATGCACATGACAAATATGTAAAAATACAGACAAATGCATACAAACTTGTATTATACTTACTTAACCCTTGATATTTAAAATTAATGAGTGATAGGTGAAGAAATATCACACAAGTAAATTGAAAAGCTTTATTTTGTGAATTCACTTACTTGAAAATATAAATTAATATTTCTCATTAGACCATGTACAGTTGTACAATAAAGCAAAAAAAATAGAATCTAAAGAAAAAAGAAGAGAAGGGAGAAAGGAAGAAAGAGAGAAAGAAATGTCCATACCAACAGGATCATAAATCAGATAAAAATGTGATTCAAAAAGTATTTTTACTCTTGATTATCTTAGTCTCTAGGAATTCGTAGGAATCATAATTGTAGAATTAGAAGTTTTCATTGACAAAATCTTTCCTACCATAAACATTAATTGGGTTTTTACTGGGTACCAGGTGATATACTGGAGAATAGCGGTATTCAATCATTCAATCATTGAAACTTGAATTTCATTGCTGCTGGCATCACACAGTTTCAGAGGAAATAAATGTAACTCAAGCCAACATCAAAATCAAGAAACAACAGACATGTGCAAACAGTGTTAAAGAAAGCATTGTGATCAGAATTTCATTTTAAAAACATCCTCTCATGACTCTGCTTGTTCTTCTTGGACTGTCTCTGCTCCTTGCTCATCAACCCACGGCAAAGAAACAGTTGTACGATCACAGGCAAGTTCTTCCTAGTGCTGCATGTCCCAACCTCAGAGACGCTTCATTGCCCCAGATTGTTACTGTTCATTTTTAGCTTTCTGTTGATTAGGTCAAAAATCATTTCTTCTTGACCCCAACCTCCTATCTTTCTGACTAAAAGCCGACACTTATTCATATGTTACTACACCATATTAAATAAAATGATAATACATCAATCAATCAATCAATCAATCAGTCAAACAACCAACAAACAAAATGCAGATTTTAGTGTTTCATACAGATTTTCTAAAATTCAAACCCAGACTTACTAATACAGTTAAACACTACAACTTGCATATCTAGTAAACATTGCACACTCAAACGTGTACACATTGGAACTGGATATCTCAGTCCTGTGCTAAAGCCTTTTCTTCCAGGAACTGTCCACATTACTGGAAGGAATGACAATGGTATCATTGGAGTTATTGACAAAAAAAAGGCTCAAAAATAAACAGAAAAACTAAACAAAGTAAAAACATCTGAAAAACCTGTAGGATCAACTTTAACTCTTGTTCATGCATTCCCATGTGGTTCATGAATATAAACATATATCCAGAATCTAACCAATTTTATATTTCTCCACCATCCAACATACTTTTGCTGCACAATCACTACAGTCTTGTAACAGTAAGAGTACCATTGAGTGAGAGCTTACCTTTACTGGTACTTTTCCAGGTATTGTGTTTACCCAGCAGGTCACTGATTTACCTGGGCCAGCCCTCATATCCCTTAGCGATCCTTACTCCAAGGAGGACAACGGATCAGTCTCTTGCCTTAATAGAAGAGAATTCTGCAAGTCTACAGTGTTCTGTGCAAACACCTAAGTTCTTGCAGCAATCACATTGCATTTCAGCTTCTCCATTAAACCCTGTGTTTGTTTCCAGGGTTTTCTCTGGTAAGCAATTTTCTCAGAGCATGCTGTGCATGCAAGTCTTTTTTGCAGTGTTTTTGAGGAGAATGACATGAGAAACTCCTTACTTGAGAGTGTAAGAATCTAGATTTTGCTTGTTTTATTTACTTCTTGAAATAATTCAAGGGGAGTAAAGGTACTCTAAATCACACTCTCTTGACATGTTCTCTCTCTGACTCTCTCTGTCTCTGTCTCTCTGTCTCTCTCTCTGTCTCTCTCTGTGTCTGTCTCTCTCTCTCTCTCTCTCTCTCTCTCTCTCTGTCTCTCTCTCTCTCTTTCTCTTTCTGCCTCTCTCAGTTTTCAAGATAGGGTCTCACTGTGTAGCTCTGGCTCTCCTGGAACTCACCTGAGTGCTGGGATTACAGGCATGCATCACTACACCTGCCTTTTCCTTTAATTTTAAAATGTCCCTAAAACATTGCAATGGTCTTCAATGAAGGACAGATTTCCTTCCATCAGTATGTAGACCTAACACACTGTAAATGTTTCTTAACTATTTATACAATGAATAAACAAAAAATAAGTTTGGCAATAATATACCAAAGTATTAAGTTCACTTTGCTTCATTTTTCCTGATACTCTTTGATCATTGTCATGATATGGATATTTACAAACATTTAATTCCCAAGAGAAATTGAATAATAACCTTCAAGGTAGAAATGACAAATAGAATCAGAAATTAAATATTCTTTAGTTAACTCTTTTTTATTGTTCTCTTTAATGTGTCTCAATTCTTTCTTTAAATACCAACCTGAAGCCACATCCGCCTTAAATCCATCTCTGTTGCCTTGACTGAAGGTGGGAATTTGATTGACTTGAGTATCCTGTATGCAAGTGTCTCCAAACAAGCTTTCCCAAATCTGAACACAGTCTCTTTCTAAAGGGAGACTGCACTGACAGTTCCACAAAACGGTCTGTCTCAGGCTCTGTCTTAGGCCCACACACATCAGTCGGCCGCTAAGGGTGTGACATTGAGCTGTTCCTCTGCCACAGGTTTTCTTAAAGTTCTCATGGAGCAGTGCGCAGTGCTCAGATTCCTGGCAAGCCTCTGCAGCTGCCACACAGTCATCCTTCCTTATAGACAGTAAAGATGTATCTCTCCTTGGGAGCCATTGGGTTACATTTGACCTTGGCACCGAATTGGAAGGCAGGGGTGACCCCTCTATAGATAGAGTAAGAGAATGGTTTAAGATTAAGTTCTTTTACTCTTCATGCGTTCATAAACTCTTTAGACACATTTTTATATTATTTCACTATCTTTCAAAAACATTGGAAATTTATTTCAAGGCATTGATTTCCAATGACCTGTAATTTAGGAAACTTGAGACAATAAAGTTCAATTGTGGATGTACATAGCATTATTACTGAGTTTTTCTTGTAAATACTTTGTCTTCATTTATTCTTGTCTACATACATTTTGATAACTGACACAAATTTGAATGAACTTTAATGTGTAAATTTATTATTTCTCATAGAAATTTCTATGAATTCCATTTTATTTTGGAGAAGTTTCTTTACTTAAGGGTTGGTCAGATGTTTTTCTTATTTTTTCCTTTACAAATTTTAGGAGTACATTTTTTCTTCCTATTTCCCTTAGCTCCTCATACAGCTTCAATTCCACATATACACTATCCATCCACACACATGCACTTAGAGAGTGTGTGTATATATATATATATATATATATATATATATATATATATATATATTGCATTTATACATTAATAAAGTAAATTAGTATTTTGCCATTCTCAATTTTCACCCTTTGGTGGCTATTTTAGTCTATATAGACACAGTAACCCATATTATGTTCATTCCATGGAAATAAGAGGAGAAATACAACTTTCCTATAAAGCTCTGGGTTAGCATGGGCTTTGGGCTCTGTTTCTAAAGCATTGTTTTCCTCTGAGTTACGTGAGCTTACTTCCACAGTGAGCATTTCCTGGACATTCACAGGTTTTCAACATCTTTTTTCCTAGTAGATTTTCCTGGCCCTATTTATGTTTTAAAGGTTTTTTTCTTATTACATAAGTATCCCTCACATTTTCATTTTTTTCATATCTAACTTCATAGTTGTACAAGGTAAATACACTGTAACTAACTTAATGCTATGAAAATGTTTACTTACAATCTACTTACAGTATCATCATAAAATTTGTCCATAGTTATAACTCTGAAATATGTTTTGAAACACACCCTATTGTAGCATATAAATGTTTTTGAAATAAGAGCTCAACATGAATTGCTGTAAATCAGATCCTTTAATAAGAATAGGAATGATGTTGGCTAGTAAGCCTGGGGGTGCACATTGAAATATATGTAAATAAACGCTGTCCTCGTGTAATTAGTTCCTCATATCAGTCATTAAATACTTTGTAATAAGCTTTAAATCTACCTAATATCAGTCTGTTTTATCAATATATATATATGTGTATATATATATATATGAGAAATAAACCAGGTTAAATTACATGATTACATGATCCTACTAAACGTCTAATTTACTCTATGACATTAGCCACTAAATTGCTTTACTCAGCTTTATGTCTATGTGCAGCAGGGTTTAAGGTATGTCTATCTATATTAACTGAATTATAACTATTTTATAAATGAACATATGATTTTAACGTTCAATTTTTTTTGAAAAATTAAATGTTTATGTAATATATTTGATGATAGTTTGTGAAGTTTCAGGTACTATTCTGGAATCTTCGGAGCTATCAAAATTGTCGAAACTTAAAAAATGCAGGTGTGTATGTGTGTATGTACTGGGGAGTGCTTTGATGCTACCAAGGAAAGAGAAAGAGGTCATTGTTGTTGTTGGTGGTGGTGGTTTTATTTTTTCCCTGTAGTGTAATCGAAGGGTGTGTGGAGAGTGCTGGGACTGAACCAGATTGAATGCTGAGATCACAGTTGTCATAAACTTTCTAAGAGAACTGTAGGCAGTTTCTTAGGGGCTCTTTGGAACTGCAGCCCTCAAATAGTCCATAATGAAACGAACTTGAGAGACCATTTAGGCTTGCACCTTCAGGCCACATGGGATGGAAGAGTTCTGTTACCTGGATTGTCTATTGTTCACGTTGTAATTTTAAATGAATTTCTGTTCTGTGAAAATGGTCTTTACATGTGAAATGCTTTTAACCTCTCTGAAGTTGTGTGTACATGTTACCAGATGCTATTTTGAGAAAATGGGATGAGGATGGCCATGAAGTTAAGAGTTTACTGTTTGAAAAAGAATTGAGTCTGTATTTGAATAAATGTTTCAAATGATTGCAACTCAGTCTACTTGCAA